GTCATCTCTTAAAACATTGCCTTCCCCACAGTCCTCCTAGCGTCTCCATCTGGAGCTCCCATTACTTGTAACTGGAACCTTCCTTCCATGGATCTCAACCTTTATGTTTTGTATCTCTTTGCCTCCCTCTGCTTGGTATTGTTACTTTATTAAAATTTATTCTATTTTTTTGTGTATACTATTAACTTATAGATTGTGCTTTAAATTTTACTTTTTTTTTTTTTTGGCTTTGTTTTTCGAGACAGGGTTTCTCTGTGTGGCTTTGGAGCCTGTCCTGGAGCTCACTTTGTAGACCATGCTGGCCTCAAACTCACAGAGATCCGCCTACCTCTGCCTCCCAAGTGCTGGGATCAAAGGTGTGTGCCACCACTGTCTGTCAATCTTTTAAAAATTTATTTATTATGTATACAGTATTCTGCCTACATGTATGTCTGCATTGCAGGCCAGAAGAGGGCATCAGATCCCACCATAGATGGCTGTGAGCCACCATGTGGTTGCTGGGAATTGAATTCAGGATCTCTGGAAAAGCAGCCAGGGCTCTTAACTTCTGAGCCACTCTCCAGTCCTGAGTTTTTTTTTTTTTTTAAGAAATTTCTTGTGCTTCTTTTTCAAATCTTTAATATGCACCTCCCAGCCAAGAGTTTTGTTCTTGCCTGTATTTTTAACTTTGTTGGTTTTTGTTGTTGTTGATCTGTTTTTTTAAGATAGGGTCGCATGCAGCTCAGGCTGGTATAGAACTGAATTGTAGTGGAGGCTAACCTTGGACTCTTGATCCTCCAGCCTCCACCTCTGAGGTGCTGGGATACAATCATTCACCACAATGCCTGCCTAGGTTTATCACTTAAATTAGAAGCTTTCACACATACTATAATACTGGGTATTATATACAGTGTATCCCCCTTATTTAGGAGAATGAGGTAGGAGGATTGTTTGAGCCTAGCATTTTGGGCCTATCCTAGGCAAAATAGAGAGACTTGTTTTAAAACAATATTATTTATCCATTTTGGTGTGCACACTTCAGAGGTAGACACAGGAGGATTAGGCCAGTGTTGGCTCCATTGTGAGTTCAAAGCCTGCCTGGGCTACCTGAGACCCTGTTTCAACAACAACTATCAAGGAACTCCAATCCCAAACAACAACAAACTCAAAACAAAGCCAAACAAACAAACAAACAAACAAACAAACAAATACTCTCAAAGCACAATGTGGTTCAAAAGAGATTTTATTATAGCTAAGGTACCGTTAGCTGCTATAACAGAATGCCTAGGTAGGCTCTGGATGACTTAAGTCAGTAACAACTTAGTTCTTTTTTTCATGTCATAGTTTGAATTAGTTGTTCACTGTGACATAATAAATTGCCCAAACTCAGAGCCTTAAAAACAACATAGTTTTTATCTACAGGTTTCTGTAGGCCAGATGCAGCTTAGCCCAGTGTACCTGGGCATGGTGTCTCACAAGGTGATGTCAAGGTGATGTCCAGGCTGCAGTCATCTCACAGCCTGGCTGGAGGAAGACTTGCTTCCATGCCTACCCATGTGGCTGTTGAGAAGACTCGGGTTCTCCGTGGCTATTGGGCAGTGAGATGAGTTTTGCCTCCTTCGTAGCAATGGTAGAGAGGGAGGGTGGGGGGCAGAGAGTCAGAAACTAAGGTGGAAGCCACTCTCCTACATTTTGTTCATTAGAGGTGGACCACCGAGTCTAGTCCGTATTCCAGGACTAGGAATGTGCTGTGAGGGATGCTGTTAGCAGTATCTTGCATGTAGACAAGGTCACCTCCGCTTCATTGTGGCATCTTCTTGCACAGAAGCAGCTTCAGTGAGGCATGATCTCCTGGGATACATTCTGTGGTTGTTTCTGTTAGAATTGTCCTGATCTGAGACCGCTTGATGTTAATTTTTAATCTGGGCTGTGCAAGCCCATGCACACACAGTCCTGAGTCTGTAGGAAGACTGGTTCATGTGCACAGCTTCATCTTCATGGGGATTTGCCTCCTTTCCTCTCCCTGGTATCTCAGCTATACACTGGCTTCCTTGTCATGAGCCTCTGGTGGTGATGGATAGCATTTTTTTTTCTAGTCTACATTATCATCAAAGGTTTATGAATGTTCTCATTTCTGCTTCCCATTTGGGCTTGACACAGGCCCAAAGCCTCACTCCGGCATTAGAGTAGGTGCTAAAACTTAAACCTTTGGTTGCTGAGACCAGTAGCCCCTGCCTCCAACCTTCTGCCTCCCCCAGGCTGTTTGCAGCATTGGCACACACAGTTCATATTCTGATTTTCCAGGCTCCTCTTTGCATTTGTCCCCTGGGGACTGATCTCGCTTTCTTGTGAGCTCAGCTATGCATATAAAACAACACTGGTTGTGTTTCATCCAATGTTGCGGACTGCTTTGAAATGGGAGGCGTTTCCAAAGGTTAGCTAAAACAAATAGCATCCTCCACATGTCCAGGATATTGCCTGGCCCCCAGCTGGACCCATCAACTCTAGCACGGACAATTTCCAATTAGATCCAGGCAGAGTATTTTCCTCTCTGGGTCTTGTGTGCTTGGAAACAGCTGTCGATTCTGACTCAGGCTGAAGTTAGGCTGAGGATCTCATTTCCCAAGAGGACTCCTTTAACTCTCCTGCAAGTGGGTATTGGGAGAAGTAGGGTGGAAGTCCATGTAGGGATAACAGGAGTATTCACAGTAAAATGTTATCGTTTGATAATCATAAATAGTATAGGGTCAGCTGGTATACCGTGTTCCTTGGAGTCTGTATTTACCTCTGGGTCTGTATTTCCTTGGGTCCTGGTTTTTGGTTGGGATCAAGTCACCTCTTGGTCAGTCCTATTGGAAGATAGGGACTGCTTATTCTACCTTTACCTGTTCCCTCTGTCTGCCTTGGATGGAGTTCATTCTGAGTATACCTGTGGGTGGGATTTTAAGGGCCTGGCAACCCCTGGGACAGAGAGGCCTCTCACTCTCAGTGGTCTTGTCAACGTGACCCAAGGCACTCTTGCTGCTGTTTATAATAGTAGCCAGTGTTTATTGAGCATCTACTGCATGCCTCATGCTTTACATACAGAAGAAGGCTGGAGGTAAATGCAGGGCAATGGGAGATTCAGAGATTTCTATCATCTCGGAGGCTCCAACAGCTTAAGCCCAGAATACCCAAAATACCAGGGTTAGCTCAGCTCTTCTATGCTCCAGGCAGAACTCTTTGGGCTGGATAGTTTCAGTGAGGAGTGCCTGAAGCCTAGGAATATCAGTTAGTTTAGCTCCCACATTTTGGGAGGTACCCTGGCACCTGCTGTCCATGATGCCTTGGAGGGGACGCCAGGTACAGGAATCATGGGAGAGCCATTGCTGAGAACTTAACTGCTACAGAATCTAGAACCTGCAGTGTTTGGACTTCTGCACACTGGTAATGAAAGGTGCCTTGGGAAAGGTCAAGGAAGAAGTCCCAAGAGTTCTGTGTCATTCCTTGGGTTTACAGGAGAGCCATTGAGTCTTCAGCACTTTTGGTACCAAGTATCCAGGCAGCAAAAGCAGAGAGTGGTTGTCTCTAGTTGAGGGCAACTTCCACAATCCAGGAGATTCTGATGACCAGCTAACTTTACATGGAACCCAAGAAATAAGGTGTTGCGATTCACTTTTACTGCCGGCCGGATGGGCATCCTTGGACAGTTTATCTGCTTCTCTGAGCCTTCATCTGTCCATTGGTAGATGGTGCTGGAGATGGCTCTTGTAGTCATGGCAGAGAGTCTGGTGAAATCTCCTATCGCAGAGGAGGCCAGGTTAGGGAAATACCAAGCTGCATTTTACCCAGGGACCATGCTACTCTTTTAGGTTTGTGACTGCAGATCACTGTGGTGTCATGAATCCTTCCAGGGAGATGTCGCCAAATGCCCTGGCTGTTGTCGTCCCCCTGGAATGTTGTTGAGAACCTCATCCATGACTCATCCAGTGGCCGCTGTACAACCATCAGCAGGGGGTTTGCTCTTGGGCTCAGTAATGGCAGTGTTGTAGTTCTTATGAGCACCTGGCTGGTGCTCACCAGGTAGCCCTGGGACATCCATATGCCACTGAGGTTCACACTGTGCTAGTATCTGCTCCAAATGCCTTATGTGTCTATATCAGTCCTCCCAGTAGTCCTAGTGCTGTTAGCACTCCCATTGGACAGGTAAGCAAACTGAGGCCCCCAGATCTTCATATTCCCAGGCTACACTTCCTGAGTCCAGGTGAGTCTACCCCATGGCTCACGTAGGAATCTCCTTACTTTGGCTGAGTGGAAGTCCACAGTCAAGTTCATATCCATGCAGAGTGATGTTTGGGCTTTGTACCTGTGCTGTGCTGTAGATGTATCCATGAAGGAGATGACGGGGCAATGGCCAATGGGTTAGAAGAGAACCATAGTTAGTAGGTATGTGTAGTGGGGAGAGGCTTGGGACGCTTGTAGGTTAATAACTTTGCTCCATCACCCATCAGTTCCCATCGTGCCTTTTGGCACAGGTCTCAACTATTGCTTTTCATCAGTTCATAGCCAAGCATGGTGATGAGCACATGTAATCCCAACACCAGGGAGACGGAGACAGGAGGATTGCTCTGAGTTCTGGTGCCAGCCTGAGTGACCATGGGCGTGGTCTTAGCAAACCAACAAAGCCATAATAAACAGTGCTCACTTCGGCAGTTTGCTGTGTACCCAGAAGCTGTCCTGGAGGGTGGGTATTTTAGTTCCTGGTTCCCTCTGCCAGGGTCACATGAGGGAAAGCTGAGGGACGGGACTAGGTGGAGGTCTGGTGTCTGGCATGCAGCATCCCTGAAGGGAGGTGTAGGTTGGAGTTTGTATGTTTAGAGGAAGAATGGATCAGAGCAGCCCCAAGGTAGGCCTGGGGAACATCCTGCCCTCAAATGGAGGAGAGTCCCACAAGTGCCTTAGGTGTTCTCCAAAGCAAAGCTTCTGATTGACCCCATACTATCCCAGTATCTCAATAAAGATCCTCCTGGTCCCCTTCCCAGCTCAGCGAGGAGTTCAACCAGCAGCTGGAGGCCGTGTGCGGGTCCGTGTTTGGGGAGCTTGAGTCCCAGGCCGTGGACGCCCTGGACCTGCCCGGCTGTTTCCGCATGCGGAGCCACAGCTACCTCCGGGCCATCCAGGCCGGCTGCTCTCAAGACGACGACTGCCTACCCCTCCTTGCTGCCCCTGCCTCTGTCTCAGGGAGGCCCGGCTCCTGTAAGTATGCTCTCTGTCTGCTTCTGGCTGCCAGTTGTGTAGATCACTTCTCTCTGGGTAGGATTAGGCGGGAAGTGGTCCTT